TTTTTTTTTTTTTTTTGGTAAATTTACCCTAGAGGAAATTTACACAGGTCCCCTGAATTCACCATTTCAGCAGAACACCGACCCTTTGCATTGGTATCTTATAAATGGTATCATGTATTCTAAATAGACTTATTCCACTGAAGTTTACTGCGGGACTTTTTGCGCTTATTCTTTACATATTGCTCCTCTATACCTCTATCTGTGTCTTTATTGTCTGCGTGCCCAGTAGCTCCCCAGAGCCTTGGTGGGGCAGTGGTTAAGAGCTCGGCTGCTAACCAAAACGTCAGCAGTTCAAATCCACCAGCCACTCCTTGGAAACCCTATGGGGCAGTTCTACTGTGTCCTGTAGGGTCGCTATGAGTCGGAGTCGACTTGAGAGAAATGGTTTTTTTTGGGTTGCCCAGTAGCGCCCCAGAGCCCGGGATCACACTTCTTACCGAGATTGTCGGAGCACCTACTTTTCACTGTGTGTGAATGGGGAGAATAGTGATGGATTGTTTTCAAGTTTTCTGTTTGAATATTGGACAGTTAGACTGCATTACATTTGTTTTTTATAATGTTCTTTTTACAAGAGAAAGAGAGGCCCCAGGGGACAGTGTCATATTCACATATTGTATTACAGCCAAGTTGTCTATACTTTGTATTTGACATCACTTCTAATATAATGATCCTTGTGAAACATATGTATTCATTGCCCTAAGAAAATGTTAGCCCCTCGGTGATGCAAATGGTTAAGTGCTGGACTATCCAGAGGTGCCTCAGAAGACAGGCCCGGCGATCTGCTTCTGCAAGGTCACAGCCTTGAAAACTCCATCGTGCAGTTCTACTCTGCACACACGGGGTCGCCGTGAGTCGACGCAGAAACCAACAAGACAACGGGAGATGCTTATCCAGACGGCAAGATGACTACATTTGCCTTAAATTAATTAATGGCTAATTTCCACAGGGCAGGACTAGGGGCAGTTACACACTGTGCTTAGTGGTTAGAGCTGTGGGGCCGGATCCAGCCACAGGTGTTCAATTGCCTTTTGGCAGCAAAACATATTTTTAATATGTAATTTAACAACAATAATCGGGAATTTTTTTGTTACAACAAAAATTATTGATTTCACCATTTTCAATCCCTTTATGGATATAATATGCCCCTTTTCACCAGATCTATAATTTTAGATCTCTGAGACTTCTTCATACCTCACAGTTTATTTATTTTTTAATGTTATATCACTTTCTGAAAATAGAAGTATGTGCTGCTTTTTCCTGAAAATATTGCCTTTTCATAGTTATGAAACAATTTCAGTCGCATTACTGAGTAGGCATTTAGGCTCAGACAGACAACAAACTCTCCACCTAGCTGGGCCAGTTTTTCACCCCGGACCCCTGAGGGACGGGGAGAGGGCCCAGAGCAAGTAAGAGCCCACCTAGGAGAGGGGCTGGGATTCAAAGCTTCTTGAATTACTCCTGGGTTGCCCTCCGTCAGTGCTGCAGGAAACTGTCCACCCAGCCAGTGCTCCAAGCCGCTAGCTCTCCGATCCTTCCTCCACTCCTGCCCTTAGAATGATAAACCAGTCGCCCGCGGGTGACTCCGACTCCTGGCAACTCCATGTGTGTCCGAGTAGAACTGTGCCCCGTGGGGTTTTCAATGGCTGATATTTCACAAGCAGTTCACCAGGCCTTTCTTCCAAGGCACCTCTGGATGGGCTTGAACCTCCAACCTTTCGGTTAGCTGTCTGAGCTCATTAACCATTTGCACCACCCAGGGCCTCCCTTGGGATGACAGTGTTTCGCATACCTGGGGGAGCACTGCCTAGCTGGGGCAGGAGGATATACAAGGAAATGATGTACTGCTTCCGGGCATGTCGGTGTTAAGTCTGGAATTCCTGGGGCATAGCCTTCCGCTCACATGGCCCGAGCCTGTTACGTACAACTCCGAAGGGCTTCTTGCAGTATTGGGGCTGTAAATTACGAGACGAGCAAATTCCGTGAGGAAAGAACGTATTAGGTGCTCCATAATTGCTTCTTTGTAATAAAGAGAAAATAAAAACAAGGAAAGGAAGGAATTCTTCCTGAAAATGCTGGATCTTGTGCTAAGCTCTGTGAAGGATACAAAGAAAGAAAAGACATTGTCGCTACACAAGATGTGTACAGTCCAGCAGGCAGAGTCAGCCGGGGTGAACACGAGCAGTAACCCAAGACCGCGTGTGAAGGGCCGTGGGAGAGCTGCAGACCCCAGCTCTCAGGAGCAGGACGGCTGCGGACATACCGTTTAGTGGTGAGCTGCGTTGTAAACAGCTGCCTACTAAAAATAAAGCGTCACCTTTGTGAAGGACTGGCTTTAAAAAATTACACTGGAGTCAAGGTTGTGCATATAATAATGTACCATCACTCGCTGGGGCTTCTTTGTGCTCTTGGGAGTCGGAGTTGGGAGTGACAGCAAGCCAGAAATTGCATATATCCTCAGCCTGTCCAATGGCATGCCCTGAGAACATGTCCTGGCAGCAGGAGTGAGAAGTGTGGATAGTTCGTTCCAGTGGCATTGGGGCGGGGGGTAGGGAGAGTATCCCTGTTTCCTGGGGTGGCTGGGCAGAGTTGGATGGTGGAGTCAGAACTGTGCCTTGAATGAAGGATGGGGCTGAGTTATGGGTCCCCCGGGAAGGAGGACAGCGTGTGTCCAGGGGCCCTGCAGAGCTGGGAGAATAGTGACCGGACCAGCTTCCTTGTGGCAGAGCATGTCAGGGAAGTGTTACGGAGGACCTTGAATGCCAGCTCAGGAGAGCAGGGCCCTGTTCACCGCTGAATCCCAGCACCCATGACCGTGCCCACCCACCGCAGAGGAGGTTCTCATCACTGTGCCATGAATATGTTCGTGAATTGACGGTGACAGCTGGATTGTGTCCTGTAGGTACGGCAGTGTTCCGCAGCGGTTACTCGGTGTACTCTTCCCCTTGTGAAACTCATCTGTCGGGGGTCTCATGTCATTTGTAAAACTAACCAGTCTGACACATCAATTGTTGTGTGCTGTTGAGTCGATTCCGACTCCTAGCGACCTGCAGGACAGAGTAGAACTGCCCCATAGGGTTTCCAAGGTCGTAAGTCTTTACAGAAGCAGACTGCCACATCTCTCTCCTGCAGAGTGGCTGGTGAGTTCGAACCGCCAACCTTTCAGTTAGCAGCTGAGCACTTAACCGCTGCGCCCCCAGGGCTCCTGCCTAGGTCCAATACCAGGTGCTAATGAAAAAGAACAGCTTATGGTGGCATCTCTACAGGCGGTGTCAGCATGTTAACGTAAGCCTTTGTTATCCACAGGTACAGAGGGATGTCAGTGGGTGCAGCTGGGGATCCACTTGGTTGGTGGATCTTCTAGGCCACATGGGTGTCTTTATGGCGAACCGCGTTCTGCTCGTGTAGGGCAGGCCTCGGCCGGCTCGTACCCTGATGGTCGAGATACGTCGGGCTTCATTGTTTCGTCTCCCCTCTCGTTTAGCCTGGAGAATCTCAGAGTTCCCAGAGCTCCCTGAATGCCGGGATTTCCTGTGCCTTGTTCTCCGTCCTCTTCCGTTTTCCATGGAGCCCCCTCCCCTTCTCCCACCATCTGATATTCCTGCGAAGTCCCTCAGGAGCGATCCTGATAGAAATCGCAGCCCTCCCTCACTGCCTGTGGAAGCGGAATAACTGGAAATAAAACCTACACGTTCCAAGTTACGCTTTTATAGCCTTGTGGTTGTCCTTCTTTACTAGCTGCCTTTTTTTTTCTCTTAAAGAAAAGCTAGTTAAATAATTATGAATTGCTACAACCAGTGTAGCAATCTGCAGCTGCCTGATTACTAAACCAGTTTAGTGATAATTCTAATTACTACCTGCCTAGGGGCGTCTGTCTCAGGTCCCTCCCCACCCCGGCTGCCATTGAGTCGACTCCGACTCATGGCAACCCCACGTGTTGCAGAGTAGAACTCTGCTCCATGGGGTTTTCAATGGCCGTGATCTTTTGGAAGGAGCTTGCCAGGACTTTCTTCTGAGGTGCCTCTGGGTGGGTTTGAACCACCAACCTTTTGGTTGGTAGTCAAGTGCTTATCTGTTTGGGCCACACAGGGACTCCGCCCAGGTCACTGCTGCCGCTTAAACGTGGTCTCTCTGTCCCTGGATAATCAAGACCAACTGCATTTCCTTGGGAATTTTTCCTTGGATCCTGATACTCCCTCTTAAGGTATTATCGACAGGCTTGGGAGACATGGAAAGCCTTGACTCATTTGAAGCTTTTTAAGAAGAATTCTGCTACTTAACACCTCCACGCTGAAGCAGGCAGCTGGCAGCCAGTCCTGCTTTCTCAGTGGTCAGAAGGGCTCTGTGCCTAAGAATTGCCATTTGGCAACAGTGTGTGTTGTTTCTGGAGTCCCAGCAAGGAGCTGGGTACGTCGCATTTCACTCGTTGGGCTACCGTTGGCTGCGAAAGCATGGCGGACATCCTTCTGTGTCGGGGTCTGCCACTCGCTTCTTTAGGGACACAGCTATTAATACTTTTGCGCTTGATCTGGCCCAGTTGGAGAGGGCCAGGGTGCTGACGCCCCCTTACTTCTGCCCTGTACTTCTTGCCTACATTAAAAAAAATTTCTTCCATCTTATTTATTTTACTGTTGTAAAATATAGGTATGAAAACGTTTGCCATTTTAACCATTTTAAAGCGTATAATTCAGTGACTTACTTACATTGGCCGTGTTGTGTTACCATCACCACAGTCCATTTCCACAAGTTTTCAATGCTTTATCTTATTTCGTCATTATTGATAATCTATTGAAAAATATCCTGGCTACTACGAATACTCACTCCACATGGATTTACTGCCCCTTGAAGTATGCGTTTATGCCCTCCCAAGGTGACAGCACTTCTGTAGGGATTTCAGTCCTGATTCTGGAAAAGATCAGGGAGGAAAGTGGGTTTGAGGTTCAGAAATGTTCTAGAAGCTTGGTGGGATGAGCCGGCTGCTCACGTTATCTTTCCCTTCCCAGGAGCCGGGGTCAGAGAGGATGTCTTTCTCATCTGGAAGGAGGTGGAGGAGGCCCGGAGCACGCTGGCCCAGCTCCAGAGCCTGGTGACCGAGTTGCCCAAGTCCGACAGGGACAAAACAGCCTGCGGTCGGTGCCATTTACGGTTATTCGTGTAAAAGAGTCACACATGTTACCAGCTGGGGTGGGGTGGGAGGCTGTTCTGTGTTTGTTACCAGGGAGAGCTCCTTAGCCCTGCCCAGGAGCTGCTGAGGGGCGATGCGGAGCTGTGCGGTGGATCTTGGGGGTGTGGGCGTGGGCATGTGCGCGCGCGGTGTGTGCGCGTGTGTGTGTGTGTGGTGTGTGTGTGTGTGTGTCTGTGCGCGCTATAACAGGAAGACGAGGCAGGAGGAGATCTCATATGCAGATTACTTACATCACATCCAGACTGCCTGTGGCAGGCCATCATCGGACGTCCCGTCAGATACCTACGGGGAAGCAGAGCTCTTTGCTTTTCAGTTCTTATTGAAGCCCATCACTTTCTTTGTGCAGGGTCTGGGACCTGATTGCAGAAGGGAGCTAGGGAGCGTAGGCAGGGAAGGAGAATGGAATGTTTTTTTGGAAGGGACCAAGTGAATGTGGATTTGTATTCTTAATATTAGAAAGAAACCATTAAAATCTAGCTGCAGTTCCTGGTCTTAGCTTAGAGCTCTTTCGTGTCATTTGGAATGGCCTCGTGGACCTTTGGCGTTGAGACAGCCGATGCACTGTGTCTAAATGGTAACAGCAGCGATGATGACCGCTTGGTAAGCACCTACGTGTCAGGCCCTGCACCAAGCGCCAGGCTTGTGTTTGCTCATTGAATCCTCACAGCTCTGTAAGGGAGATGCTGTTATCCCTTTTTGACAGGTGAGGAAACTGAGGCACAGAAGGATCAACAATTTGTCTATGGTCACACAGCTAGCAAATGCAGAATTGGGTTTTGAACCCAAAATGGGGCCCAGAGGCTTTCCTACTAAATCCATCTGAACTTCACTTTCCCAGTTATCAATTAGCACTAATCCTGTCCTGAAAAATGAAAGCACTGTCCTGGTGTTTGATGTGCTTCCAGCCTCCCCCAAATGACACTGAGGCTGCAAGGTGGCTTTGTATTTCTTTTTAACCTGAGCATTTGTCATAACAAAGGCCTGAGTTTGGGAGTGAGAAGGACCTGGCTGTAAATCCCATGTCCGTCACTAGATTAACCTGAGTTGTATAAGCCTTAGTTTTTTCTTCTGTAAAATGACTGTAATACCTATCTTGAGGATTATTGTAAAGATTAAATGAAATGACGCCAGCTTTGTCCCCAGCAGGTGTTTGATAAATATCAGCTCTCTTTTCCCTTCACATTTAGGGAAGTTAGCATACTGTTCTCATGTCAGAATTCTTGAGTTACGTCTTAGTCATCTAGCGCTGCTATAACAGAAATACCACAAGTGGATGGCTTTCACAAAAAGAAGTTTATTCTCTCACAGTCCAGTAGGCTAGAAGTCCAAATTCAGCGTGTCACCTCCAGGAGAAGGCTTTCTCTCTCTGTCGGCTCTGGAGGAAGGTCCTTGTGATGCATCAGTCTTCCCTTGGTCTGGGAGCATCTCAGCACAGGAACCTCTGGTCCAAAGGATGCGCTCTGTTCCCAGCACTGCTTTCTTGTGGTGTGAGGTTCCCATGTGTCTCTGCTCACTTCTCTCTTTTATATCTCAAAAGAGATTGGATTAAGACACTATCTAATCCTGTAAACCTCATCAGTATAATCTCATCATAGTGATAGTTTACAACACATAAGGAAATCACACAGAACCTTATCATAGTGATAGAGTTTACAACACATAAGGAAATCATATCAGATTTACAAAATGGTACACAATCATACAATACTGGGAATCATGACCCAGCTAAGTTGACAGATATTTTTGGGGGACACAATTTAATCCATGACAAATTAGTACAGGATTTTCCTCTGTCAGGTAACAGGTTTCATGTAGGGCACACCTGGTAATAATAATGATTAATGCTTATAGCAAGGAGCCCTGGTGGTGCAATATGGTTAAGCACTCAGCTGCTAAGTGAACCCACCAGCAGCTCCATAGAAGAGACTTGGCAATCTGCTCCCATAAAGATTACCACAAAGGAAACCCTATGGGGCAGTTCTCCCCTGTCATAAGGGTCAGTGTGAGTCAGAATTGACTCAACGGCATACCACCATCACCACCACCATGCTTATAGCACATACCTTACGTGTCGGGCACTCATTTAATCATCACCCTAATCTTGTGATATAGGTGCTACTGTTATCTCTATTAGGGAGCCCTGGTGGTACAGTGGTTAAGAGCTTGGCTGCTAACCAAAAGGTCAGCAGTTTGAATCCACCAGCTGCTCCTTGGAAACCCTACAGGGCAGTTTGACTTTGTCCTGTAGGGTCGCTATGAGTTAGAATCGACTTGACAGCAACAGTTTGGTTTTTTTTTTTTT